GACTGCATTTCAGCTAGTTGGGACGCTCCTAACTGAAAGCCCAAGCAACCTCAGAACTACCTTTAGAAAACCTGCACAGCGAATACAGAAACATAACACTCAATACTGCCACTGAACAAGGCTTCATGTGCAAAGACTCCCTCATCACAACAGCTCAGACAGGCAGGCACAACGCACTCCTGTTTACTTAGCCCTGCAAAGAAACCAACACAGGGAACCAGATACAAGCTTCATAAGTGTTGGGGCTATTATACCATTTTTTCACCAGTCTTTTCAACTACTGTATCCATCCCCATCCCTATAGGGCAGAAAAACATATAAGTACAATTAAAAGCCAGAGTTTCCTAATAGAACTTGTCCGCGAGTTCTGGCAGCACCAGGGATAAAGTTTTTGCATAGGTACAGGAAGAAGTATGGGAAGATCAATGGAACATCTGGCAAACACAGCTGGATCCCTTTTTGATTACTCCATTGATACTGCAGGGCTGGTGGAAAATGTACGTTCACGAGAGCTGGCTAACACCAGCAGATCTTTCCCCACTGAAATCCTTTTGATCCAGAGCACTACACAGAGGAGAGTGGTGGCAAGAAGTGTTCAAAAGCTTTGCTATTCCTTTATATATATATACATTAAAGCATAAACACACACGCAGAGCTTGTTTGTAGCAGCTGCCGCTGCTGCAGTTGGAGAGATAAAACAACACACACGCTCTCAGAGACACACAGACACAAATCTGTACCGCATCACATGTGTTATGCTGCATACATGGCAATACAGTGCACACACAGGAAAGGAAAAGTTGGCAAAATGCCCTACCTGAGGATGGCTGTGTCCCCCTGCCTCACGGTGATGTTATCGGTACCTCGGGTAAAATCCACGCTGCGGACTGGCAGCCCTGTAGGGAGAAGGCAAAGCAATCTCAGTAGGACCAGCGGTAATTGTTTCCGATCAGGCTGAGCCCTCGCTACCATGGCTGGTCTCGTCGAGTTTCACTGCCTGTACTTGTCTCTCTCTGCCTGGTGTATGTGGATGGATAGATGTAGAAAGAAAAACAATAATAATAGTGTACAACTCTTGCTCTGATCGACAGCCCCGGAAAGGGGAGGTGATTTCACAGTCCTTCTTAGCTGCCACTTTTCTTGTGTGGTTTTCAGTCTCTTGCAGGCTTCTTCCCCCCTCCTTGCCTTCTTTTTTAAAGCTTCCCCCCCCCAAAAAGTCTTAGCACAAGCTTCAATTGAAACAAGGGAGGAAAAAAGAAAGTCAAGAGGAAAAAGTCAGGTAGCAAAATAATTTATAAATAACAACAATTAAATCGACCCGTTTGGAGTGATGGAATAAAAAAAGCCCCAAAAAACCACAGGAAAAGGAGCAGTACGAGTCCTGTGCCGCCGGGCTGCGCAAGTGGATGG